AAAGCATGGTTAAGCATCATACATAAATCAACATGTCCTGATCTGTATGTCAAAGGTGGCTCACTTAGCCATGATTTAGTGAGCAAATCGTAATGGTTTGGATTCGTGAAACCTGCTAATCAATCAGCCATATTTTATAACATTCAATTAAACCAGAATCTCAGATAGCCCACAATGGCACGGGTGAAAGTCTCAAGAGGCAGAATTCAGCTTTATCACTGCTTCCACACTGAAAGCCCAGCCTCATGATTGCCAAAAGCTCCAGCTGGCACCGAGACAATCACGAGCTCCTTTCAACATTGCGAGGGCCCAGCTTGCCCCATGCCGACTGTCATGCCACCACCGAAGTTCTCTCGCCTCCCCCTCGCCAGTCGCAAGAAGTTGGCTTTGCTCAGTGAGTGAAGGACCAGGGCTCCATCCAGGGGGAGGCCCAGGCAAGCCCCTTGAAGAATTGGGGGCAACTGACATAGTCACTCTGGAATATGAGCACTACGAATTTGAAAGACGAACAATCAAGTGCTAAAATAGGAACCGAAGAGGAGAGCAAAATGGGGAACTTTGGCAACTGCTGGTATTATAAAAAAAATAAACGAGTGGAACTGTTGATTTAAGGGGATTTTGTAGCTGATCATGCTAATTTAAAATCAAATTGCCTTTCATCAGCCACAGTTCATATGGAAGTTGCCTGCCAGCTCATCCCTGCCACTCTCAAATGTAAATTGTCTCCACCCTGTAACAAAAGGAAACAGCCCAATCTAGTTGTCACTTCATCTCCTTGAACAAGTTTCCTTTGCTGATTGTGCTTTGAGCACACACACACCCTGCATTGGTCCTTGGCTGGAGGGGGAGGGGGGCTGTTCTGCAAGATGTTATGAGGCACCCGGAAGAAAATCCAAAACAGAGGCTATGAAACCACTTTTCCCCAGGCAGGTTTTCTCCCTCTTTCTCTCTTAACTCCATAGCAGTTTTGTGTGTTCACACAAGTGTCCCCACCGGGCCTTCTTATGGAGAAACCGGTGCTGTCTCCAATTGGCTGGTGGGCGCAGATGGGGGCATATTTCTGTTGTGTGAAGGCAAAGATGTGAGAGTGATCTGCCATTACACACCGCCACCACGCCCCGGCTGTTCAGGTCCTCCTTGTCAGAATTGACTCCCCCCCCCAAATCTGAGAACAGCCCTTAAAGAGCCATTTTCGTGCCTTTGCAAACTTTCTGTGTCCCTAGACAAGAGCTCAGCTTTTATGAACCTCCTTCTTCAAAAATAAAACAAAACTGAGGGTTGGATATTCACACACACACACACACACACACACACACACACTGTGTTGCCAAGCTGCTACTACCTCTGCAGGTCCATTGCCAGGTAATTGAGAAAAAAGGACTTAGATTTCAGAAGAGCATTTTGATAGGAACTAATCTGATAATTTTCAGACGTCATAATTCAGCTTAAATCTATTTCAATGGGGGATTTGCTCTGTGAAATGTTGAATATTTATAATGTTCATGCAGTTACATCAGCTTGATTGCCCCCAAGATACCAGGCTTTTAGGCTCTGCTAAATCATTAGGAACAGGAGGTTTTATGTGAAGAGGAGCTCCGCTAATTGGCAGAAAAGCCAAATGAATTCATCAGAAAGCAGAGCAGCCCCAGGCCAAAGGAACGTGGAGCAGAGAGACCTCCGTCCCCTTCCCTCCTCTCTGCCTCGCTCATGCAGGATATCAAGGTGGGCATTGCAACTAGCTGGCCCTAAACCCAGGTCCAAGAGGAGTATTCAAACAGCCAGAGGTGTGCAAACCGACTGAGGGGAGCAGTAGCCTTCTATGATTCCCATAAATTATCCTGCAGCAAACAAACATCCACAGATTTACACCGGTAGCGAGATTCCCATGGGCAGAGGTGAACTGGGGAATTTTCTAAGCTGGATGCGGGAGGGGGGAACCAGGTGGAAGGGAGCAAGGATATTCCTGAGTTTGGGTTTCTTTACACACCCCAAGAGTGGCTCAGTCTGTTGACAGATAGGGAGAAGCTCTTTCCAAAACCTGCTAAGGGCTGCAATATGCTTCTGGACCCAAAGCGGGGGGGGGGGGAGCCAGCTATCCACCAGCAGGAAGAAGATATAGTAGCAATGTCGTTCTCTATTTATGTGATGGGATAAAAGCTAATGATCCCCAACTGCTCGGAATTAGGTAATAAATTCTGCAGCCCTGGCACTTTTGGTGGAAAATCTTTTTTTTTTTTAAAGACAGTTTTTCTTTGTTATCTGAGCAAGAACAGAGCAGCAAATGCTACTCGGATCTACTCGGATCTCAGTCCAAATTCTTCATTAAGTGGAGAGGGAGAGAGAAATCAAGCCCATTATTTTTTTGGGAAAAGAAATGTAATACTTTCTAAAGAGTTCACTGGAGGAGATGAAGAAAGGCCACAGGGGAGCCTGACGGTTCTTTGGTAGGTCGAGAAGAAGAACTGCCCCTTCTGCTGGCTGGGGAAGAAGCAGCCCAGAGCCTGAAGAGGGCCAGCTGGGCAGCCGTGGGAAAAGATCTCTCCTGCCGGCGGAGACTGCGGCTGGATGTCCTTTCGCTGAACGGAGGCCCCTCCGGAGGCCCAAGGGATGGAGGAAGGAGGCGGGCACCTCTCGTGCGGTGACAGAAACAGCCAGCAAGAGGCCGTATCTGGCTAAGGCAATCATCCTCAACCTGTGTGTGTTCCAACTCCCAGAATTCCCCAGCCAGCATGGGTGACTGGGGAATTCTGGGAGTTGAAAGTCCACCCATCTTAAAGCTGCCAAGATTGAGGATGCCTCGGCTAAGAGATGCTCAACCAACTCTGGGCTAAGAAAACATCCCTCCAGGTTGCAGCTGAAACACTTCAGGGTCTTCTCCATAACAGTGAACATTTAGAGCCTCATTTCCAGGGGCTCTTTTCTTTTTTTTAAAAAAAAAAAAAGTTTGGATGAGCTTTCTTGAACATCATTCCTCTCCCAGACGAGAGTGTTCAACTCTTTGCACTAAGCCAGCTTGGCTTACCTTCTTGGCCCAAGTCAAACCATGGTTTAGAGTCATATGCAAATTCAGCCTGATTGCTAACAGAAGGGCCAGGTTGCTTCTGAGTTTGAACAATGCTAAACCATAAGCCATGGTTTGTCAGTCCCAGGGGTTGGTTTGTATTAGATGCTAAGCACAAGCAAGCAACTTGTATTACGGCTTAGCATCATGTGTGAACACGGCAGTTGTTAATTGGAGGCTTAAGGGAACATTTAGGAGAAGACAGACATTACCTCTTTGGTAACATTCAGCTCTGAGACAGGGCTACGACAAGCGATGAGAACATTTAAGAGTCCAACCACCACCTCAAATTATTTTGGGAGACTTTTAAGAACACAGAAGGGGATGGACAGCTTAGATCTGGCTTGGCCATTCAGCCGTGTAAAGTCTATAATTAGATTTCAGGGACTCATTTGAAATTGTCCAGCTTGCCGATAAGAAGCTGCCCAGCCTTTCAAAACACCTCAGCTGGCTTTGAAATCTGCCCATGAAAATAATAGAGTCCTGAAATAAATCTCTAGTGCCGTATAATTTCCTCAGGATAGTTGCTGAAAACCTTGGTAGAATTTATGGCAACGTGAGTCATAGCCGTCTCCTTCAGAGATGCTTAGGATGCTAATATCCTGGAGCTATTTTAGAAACCTTCCAGTAGCCCTTATGCAACAAATGCTTTTAAAAGGAAAAGAAAAAGAAAAAACTCTTCCTGCCACCATGATCAAAGATTCCTTGCTCAAGGCCCCTTGGAGTCCAAGGGCAAGACTACCGGCTCATGGTTCCCAGTGCCAGGAGAGAGACTGCTCCTCCAGGCCAGTTTCCCAACGAAGGAGAGCAAGCATCCAGCTCAGCTGCGAGCAGAGGGAGGCAGCACGGGGTCAGCAGAAAGGGAAGCCCTCCCAGGTAACCCTCCTGAGCTCCCACCTCTTCCAGGCATCCTTCCGACAGTGGAAGGGCCCCCTCTTGTCAGCCCATGCCTAAGGCTGGTTCTCCATTTCGATTTTCATCAGACGCCACCAACTGTTCCCACCCACCCCCCCCACCCCAGGGAAATGACTCCAAGGAGGAGACAGTTCTGAAGAAAGCATCACAAGAGATTGAAAGGGGTGGGAATCCTTCTCTCCCACAAGGGGAGGGGCAGCTCCTTTGAGTTCCCAAGAGGAGAGAGATTCTCTGGACACTCAGAAATTGCCACCAGGTGAAAAACCCTTGTTTTTTCAGTGGATGGGTGCATCTCCAATGGCAATCTGTCAAGGACTTCATCTTCAAGTTGGACCAGAATCCAACGAGAGATTCAGGAATTAGCTCTTATGCACCCAGAGGGACCAACAGGGATCATTCACAGCATCAGGTCAAAATGCCGTGTGGTTTGGTTTGTCTCTGCCCAGCATGGTTTTTGCCAACCTCATTTCACTGTGTAGTGTTATATCTATGAACCAATCCCTACAGCTTGCTCTCCAAATCACTGTAAAAATGGACATCCCAGGTAGAAATTAAGCCAGTTTTCCAAGCTGCAGCTACCTCAAAAGTCTGAGTGAGGTCTTCCAAGTGAATAGCTGTATTTCCCACCCCCCTCCCCCACTGTGGAGCCGTAGTCTCTGCTCCAGCCAGTCCCCCCTAGCTCAGACCTCCTCACCAGATGTGAAGTTCTCTCACACACATCCTCACTGTCCATCATTCAGGGTTTGGTTACGGTTCTTGCCTCATTTGGCAAGACCATTCTGCAGCTCGCAGCCATTCCGGACAAGGCTTGGGCACCACTCACACATGCCCCCCTCACTGTCACCCTGGGCCCCAAATCCAGTTCCTGCTCAATGTTAGGGCTGAACCCTCTTTACTCGGTTCCTGATCTGCAGCCACCCCCTGCTCACGGCCACCCACAGCCAGTTTCTCTGGGCAGCTCCAAAGCCACCTTTGACCCTCTGCTGGCCAACACTCAAAACCCGGCTGGCACTGCCAGACTCACCTTTGAAGAAGCCTCCCACGTGCAGGTGGATGTTGCAGCCTCTCCTTCCAGCCACTAATAAACCAACATGCTCCACACATCAGCCAAGCCCAGTTGGGGGAATCTTCAATCCTCATCAACGCCAAAGAGCCCACAGAAAGGGGGGGGAGATGTCATCGCTTCAGGGGGTCAGACAAAATTGGGACCCTCGTCATGGCATGGCCAAGAGGTCTTTCTCTGCCCCAGACCGGCTTTCTCTTCTCCCCATAATTACCCTTGCCTTGGCCTTCCATCTTTGGTAGCTTTAAAGAAAACCCGGAGTCCGTTTACCCTCCCATTGGAGAGCAGCTGGAGCCCCCCCCCCTTCAGAAGGCTGCCGTTCCTCTTCCCTGCTGCAGTCTGGCCCCATTCCTGGACTCCCTCAAAGCCCCTTCCTCCCGGCAGAGAAGCCTCCACTCTCCTGGGCCACAGACGGGCTCTGAAAGGCAGACTGCTCTTGCCACCTGCCCAGAGTGCCGAGGTGGCGGGCGGTTGGCTGGCCTTTGCACAGAGCCTGCCCTCTCCCTGCTGCCGCTGCTGCCGCCGCTGTTCATTTGGCAGCTGCCAGAGGAGAGTGAGCAAGCGAGCACCTGCCGGGCAAGGAGATCAGGCAGGAGCAGCAGCAGCCGCTGGTGCAGGGAATGTTTCGGCTGCCTTCCGAGGCTCACGCAAGCCCTGTGTGCAAAAGATGCCCGGAAGGGGAGCCCGCCCGCCCAGGCCTCCAGCTGCTCATAAATGTGACCTCTTCCTAAACAGGGAAGGGGGAGCATCGTTTATTAGCTGCAGGAGACCTCGGGCAGGATAATTTCCCACAGCCTCACAGAGTCATTTTTAAGCATCACTTTCTTCCTCTTGGAAAGTGCCTATGCACAGAGAACACACACACACACACACACACACACACACACACACACACACACACACCCTGCTGAAACACAAAAGGAGGTATTTGAGGAGTTCCTATGGAGCTCCAGCCCTGGTTCTGGAAAGCCAGGCTCTGGAGGACCCCACCCGTCCACCCAGTCGCTGCAGTGCCCTCTTGATGGTTCTCCTGAACTGGACCTGACTGGGCTCACCTGATCCTCCTCTGTGATGGCTCAGAACCTGTGCAAAGGCAGCATTTCCTACTTTCTTCTCCACCTGTCTCCCTTTACCTCCTGCATTTAGTACACCAACATCTTGGCGTCCTTCTAAGGACACACAATAAACCAGCAAGGCCCAAAAATCCTAGCATAAATAGCCTAGAAGAAGCTTGAAGATCATCTGACCGAGTTCAGAGTCTTGTGTGGAAAAACATCAGAGCACAGGACCCCTCCCCCGCCTTCTGGCCTTTTCAACCCATGTAGGTCCCCTTCCAGCAGCATCAGAGCCCCTTCCCAGAGCTGGTGTCCTGCCTTGGGGAGCCTGTGGGCTGAGCACATGCTGGGGCTTCACCAGTGGTCTCCCTGCATTGTTCCCTGATCCATCAGACTGGCCCTTGGGAGGGGGGCAAGTCATTTCTGGCACCCCCTCCAATCTAAACAGGACTATGATATTTTGATACAGCCATGCTTCAAGTATTTTAAAAGCCATAGAATTAAGTTCAATAGGATACGAAAAATGTGCATACCATAGTAACAGCAAAACGCTAAGTGGAGAGTTAATCTAATCTTTGGTATTAGTAATCTAATCTAATCCAATCTAATCTAAATGCTGAAGTTTATTTCTTCCCCTTGCCAAGGACTGCAATGAACCCTAGAACCCTGAAGATGTCCGAGGGCACTGGGGCTTCCTAAACCCCCACTCAGGGCAGGAATCCTACCTGGGGCCCCCAGCCCAGAGTTTCAGCCTCTTTTCTCCCCCTCCCCTTGGCTCCTATCCCCCTCCCTTCCCCTGCAGAGGCCTTTCAGGTTTTCTGGTTGGTGCTAAGCCAAAGGAACCATCATGCTGAAGTTGTCCTTCCACACACAAGTAAGTTGAATTTCCACTCAATCATCCAACAATTAAACTGGCACCGAGCCTGGCAGAGCTGAGCCAGTCGCAGAGAGACTGGCAGACAGGCAGACGGACGCCCAAGGCCAGCCCCGGCGAAGCGCTGCTGGCCCCACCAGCCTGCAGGGCCTCAGCTGGCTCAGCCCAAGGAGCAAAACTGAACCCTTCAGAAACGGGATGGAGGCAGCATCAGCACCGGAAAGACGGGCATTCACGGGCACGTCTGCCACAGCCCCCTCCAACATGCAGGTCACCCAGCCCGGGCTGCCCTTCGGTCTCTGCCAGGCCCCCCTTGTTCCTGGGAGCTGCCCCCTTTCTCCACAAGACTCCCCAGATGCCAAGACAGGGGTGGGCCTTGTGCCCTCCAAGCCAGACAGGTCCCACTTGACCGGCCAGCTCCAAAGGACAGGAAAGCCAGTTTTTGCTGGTGAGGCACCTGGGCTGGGACCCACCTTTTATTTGATGGCCCCTCCTTGGGAGCCCTGGCAGGCCCCTGCCTCTTCCAACCTCTCCCCTGCCACATTCTCTTCAAAGACGGGGGGGGGGCTGCCCTGGAGCCTTTCTCAGATGCTGTAGGAGCTGAGGGGTCCTCGGTGCTCTGAGAACCAAGACCCCTCCTTTCAACTCTGAGCTATAATATTCTCCTTTATTGATGCTGAGGTCCTCCCCCTCCCCGCCTGCTTCCCCTGCCTATTTATCAACAGCGTGTGCACCCCCTTTTGTGGGTCAAGGAGCAGGCGAAAAGGAAAGCCCAGGGACCAACATTTTAAGGGAGGGACCTAGGTCGGCCACCTGGAATCCGAGCCTTTTCCGAGGGGGCTGCTCTCAGTATTGGTGGGGCAGGAGGCGGCGGGCAAAGCCCAGCCTTTTGCCGCAGAGGGGTCCAGCTCGTGCGGGAGACCCCAAAGGGCGGGCTGGGCTGCTACTTAACACCCACCCTCTCCCCCGCCAGACCGGATCCCCGGCACGCTCCCCGGGAGGAGACCCCGCGGAAAGCGGCCGAAGGGGTCTCGCGAGCTCGGCCCGGCTGGATCCGCGGCACGGATTCGGAGGTGGGAAAGGGGCCGACCGAACAGGCGGCACCGGGAGCAGGCAGCTGCGCGGGGCGGCCGGCCGGCCGGCCAGGCGGCGGAGGCTTCCAGCAGCCACAGGTCTGCAGCGGCGCGTCCCGGCGGAGGCGCACGACCGCCAGACGGCCGGAAGGAAGGGGCTCCGCCGGCTCCCGCTGCCCGGTCGCCGGGTGGGACAGCGGCGGCTGGAAGGCGGGCGTCCCGGAAGGGGGCGACGGTCGGAACGCCTCTCCTGCGGCAGCCTCCTCTCCGCCCGCGGGAAGCAGGCGGGCGCGTTCCGGAGCCCGGACGGGCCGCCCGGCCGCAACTCGCCCGCCTCTCCCCCGCGACCCTCCCCGGCGCGGCGTCCCGTCTCCCTCCGAGGGGCGAGCGCTCTCCTCCGCACAGCCTACCTGGCCGGGCGGGCGGCGGGCGAGCAGAGGCGGCGCGCGGGGCTGCCGGGGCTCCGGCGGGGCTCCGGCCCGTGGCTCTCGGCGCTCCTCGGCCCCTCCCGAGCGCGGCGGAGGCAGCCAGCGCGGCGGCGGCGGCGGCGGGTCAAGGCTGCGGCGCCCGGGCGGCGGGGCTTCTGGCGGGCGGCGGCGCTCGCAGGCGCTTCGGACGAGCCATCCCGCCGGCCGGCCGGGCAGGGCTGAAGCTGCGCCCGGGCTGGGTGACCCGCCGGAGCTGCTCGCCGGGAAGGGGGGGCGCCCGACGCGGAGCTGCCGCCGCGGCTCCGCTCGTCTTAAAGGCGCCTCGCCCGCCGCCGCCGCCGCCCCGGGCGAGTCAGCGGGCGCCTCCGGCCGCCCCGGAGCCCCCCGGCCGCCCGGCCCGCCCGCCCGCCCAACAGGCGAAAGCGGGGCGGGGGCTCCGGCCGGCACCGACTCCAGATCGCAGCGCCCGGATCCGCTCCGGGGCCTTAAGAGCAGCTCGAGGGCGGCAATCGGCCGTCAAGCCGCGCGACCCCGAGGCGGCTCCCCGAGCCGACCCCCTGCCCGAGAAGCGCGATCTGCTGGCGGCTCCCGCCAGCCCAGCCCCGGCCAAAGCCGGACCCGCGAGCTGCCCGACTCCGGTTCAGCTGCCCGGGACCGGGACGTCCGGCAGAGTTCAGGAACAAAGTCTCTCTCTCACACTCACACACACACACACACACACCACGCAGCGGTCCTGGTGATTTTTTTTTAGAGAGCAGCGCAGTAAGCAAGACTTGCCTTCACACACTTGTGAACGCGGAGCCGACCTGTCTCACACTGACACACTCCGTGTACAATAATGCGAAGGGCTCCAAAGTCTCCCTAACCATTTCTACACTTGGCTTCTTTCTTATTTGCTGGGATTGGGTTAATAGTGGAAGGCTGTTAAGTACAACATCTGAATGTGTAAAAGGTGGATGTTGGTAAACAAGTTACAGGGCAGAAGAGCTTAAAGGTTGCAGTTGGGATCTAGTCGGATAATCTGTTTTCTTCCTCTGGAAAGTAAATCTTCTTGGACTCTAGACGGCCCCCCAGTTGTGCTCCAACCATTTGGCTGATTGTGGAAGATGGCATCACGTCTTGCCATGCTCCAAGCCACAATGGGGGCCCGCTTAGTACAGTCTATGAATCCAGCCCTGGGAGTTTGTAAACCATGGTGCATGGTGGGAAAAATGCAGTCCAAATGACACACACAAACCAGCAGCAGCTCTTAGACACTCTCTTGAGTTCTACACACACAGAGAGAGAGGGAGGGAGGGAGAGGTCTCCACACCAGAGGTCAAGCAAGGCTTTTAGCTACTTTGAGTTACCCGGCAGATCAGAGACAACATCAGTGAGATAAAAAGCAAAGGAAATCAAGTCATCAACTATGATTAAGGTAGATTACACATTCTTGTAACTATTCTGGTTGTGTGATCTTAGATCATAAATCTAGGCAGGCTGTATTTGATAAAACTCCATCTCGCTTTATTAATATTCCCAATTTGTCAGTTCCTCTTCAGTTTGACCTTAACTTTCTTTCTCTTTTTTTCAATGTTAGCATTAATTTGAGATCCAATTAAACACTTGAAGTTGATTGTTGAATTAATTCATTCAAATCACATTGAATACATTTGAAAGCAGCCTTGTGTCTAGGATGGAGATACAAAGGGGGCACCTTCCTCCCAGGGAAGAGCAGCAACACTCAGAGGCATCCCAGTCCAGAGGCTCCCCTGGCGCAAAATATGAAGTCGTAAAACAAGCCCATTGTATGAATCTGGTCCAAGCATTCTTTCGTTCACCCAGA